CAGTTGAGAAGGCATTTAGACAGTGGTGTGCTGGTAATTAGGCTGGAGGCTGGGTTGAAGGAAGAGAGTCTTGATTTCTAGTCTTTGTTGATTTCTGTCATATAATTACTCCCACTATGACAATTGCAAACTTCAGATATGTCACTTAACTCAGAATTGGAAAGAGGAACACGGAAGTGGCTGCTGTCTCCAGCAAACCACTAGTTAAGAATTCAAAGACAGCATATTCTTCAGACTGTTCTGTGTTGAGAGGCCCTTCATGAAGAAGAGATTTGAAATAGGCACTGAAGGATAGTACTATAGGAGTCTTCCCATGACTTACCATGGGAACAATTCATACCAGCTTAAAGAAAGAGAGAGAATATGAGAATGTGAATGTTGTCCAGTATCTGGACAAAGGTTTCCAATAATGTAGTCAGAGCACTCTTTCTCCCATCTTTCAGTTCTTGCATCTGCTTCTATTTGTATATTGATGTCATTGACTCCTCCCTCAAGCAGGCTCCCTCCAAATGACAGAAAAAAAGGCTAGCGCAGCTAGCAGAGAGAAGAGAGGGGAGAGAGAATCCCAAGCAGGCTCCTCACCACCCAGGGCTGTATCTTTACAGTTAACAGTTCAGAAGAAGAGCAGTACTCTTTTATGGAAATCACATGGGAAGTCTCTGATTATTTCTGCTTGAGTCTCATGCCCACCATTTGGACTCTTTACTGGGCACAAAAGAAAGAGGTACCTGATCCACATGCCCATGCCCCTGCAGCTAGAGGGCAGGCAGAGTACTAAGATGGACCACTTTTTCCCTACCACCCAATATACATGAGAATCACCCAAATAAAATTCCCCAACGGACAGAGGAATAATGGGCAGGTAAAATCCATGAATCTCTAGTAGACATATGGGTAAGGCTTTGTGGAGAGGCAGAAGAAGGGTTCTAGTTAGAGGGAACTGTGTAAGTGGAGGTACAGACACATAAAAGTTGAAGGAGTAGTTGGGAGTCCACAAAAGGATGACTCTAACCAAAGCAGAGCTACCCATAGGACAGTAGTTCTCAATGGAGGGCAATTTTACCCTCCTTGGGACATTTGGCAATGTCTGGAGATGTATTTGGTTGTCACAACTTGGAGGCAGAGGGATTGTTGTTATCATCCATAGAGAACAAAGATCCTGCTAAACATCCAACAATGCACAGGATAGTCCTGCCAGGGAAGGCTTATTGAGCCTCAATGTCAGTAGTGCAGAGATTGAGAAATCCTGACATAGGAAAAATAGAAGTGTCTGGGAAGATGTCAAATCACAAAGGCTTCCAGTTAGTGAGGCTACAGAAAGGCTAGAGGGTTGAGGCTTTATCCTATGACCATTACACAGAGAAGCATTAAAAAGGGTTGGGGACAGCTAGTGTAGCTCTTACAGTTCCTTCTTCCTCACACCTCTCTCACTCCTCCTTTGCCACCTTTACATGGCTGGGTCATTTTCATCCTTTGTGACTCAGCCTAGATGTCACCTATTCAAGAGATCTTCCCAGACCCCCCAATAAAGTAAATTCTCTGCACCACTATTCTCTCCCACAGTTCCCTCTTCTTTCTCTTTTATGACTCTCTTTTATTTTTTTAATGTTTATTTATTTTGAGAGAGGGAGGAAGGCAGAGAGAGAGAGAGAGAGGGGAGAGAGAATTCCAAGCAGGCTCCTCACCATCGGCACAGTCTGAGGCAGGGCGCTATCTCATCAACTGTGAGACCATGGCCTGAGTTGAGATCAAGAGTCAGACACTTAACCAACTGAGCCACTCAGATGCCCCTGAATTATGTGTTTGAGTGCTACTTCAATACCTATCTCCTCATAAGTACCAGCAAGGCAGGGAGCTCACTTATTTTGTGCACTACCATGACCTCAACAAAAAGCAGAGTTCCTTGTGCACTGTAATTGTTTGATATTTAATCAATCAATTAATTGCATTGAAGGTTCCTAATAGGATTGGAAAGGTGAAATGGAAAGAGTAAGGAAAGGTGGCCCATTCCTCCCTGCTATTCTGCTCACACTCATGTGCCTTCTCTGACACTCACTGCACCTGTGGTTCACAGCATGCCGTATCAGGGCTCTTGTGAAGGTACAAGACCATTCTAGCTATCTTAAGAAAACACAGATTAATAAAGAGAATCAAGTGAATTCAGAATCCTTGCAGAGCAAGTTCTGGCCTGGTGCTCCAAGAATGATTCCCAGAACACCGCACCATACTGACCCTCCAAGAAAACTACTATTCCTGCCACAGTATGGAAGCTAGCATTCAGGAAGTCGCCAACTCAGTCTCTGGCTATAGAAATACACAGTTTTAGGTGTAATCTGGGACCAGGAGTTACTGCCCAAACCCCAGGGCCATATTGCACGTTCTAGCTCACCACCAGCACAATGGATCCCTCCCAGGCTGATGCCTCATCTCCACCAGACTCAATTGTTTTTCTTAACTCAATTTTGAATTCAGGTTTGCACAAGTGCACAGGACTGGCTAAAGCTAAATTACAATGGGAACACCAACAGCAAAGAGGTTAGGAAGTGGGTTTTTAGCTTTCTAGCCTCTATAGTACGGGAAGACACACCAAGAAAGGTTTGGACACATGTGGAACGAACAAGCCAATCTACCACATCTGGCACAAGGCTGCCCCTACTGGTTTGTAAGCACTCAGAATGGCCATAAATGTCACAATGTCATTCATCTTTTCAATATGCTGAGCATGTTCTCTAGACATGAATGGCATTATGGAATTAATTGAACTGAATCAAACAAATGGGAAAATCCTCATTTCATACACTTTGTATGTCTTCTATAGCACTTATTGCATTATGCCTCTTAGACCAATTTGTGTTCTGATTCATTCTCCCTGTAGACCAGAAGTTCACCTCTTTGTCCCCACACTCATAGGTAACAAATGTTTGCAGACTGATTTAAGAGAGAAGCAGGCTCGAGAAGGAAGTTCTGAGTGCCATTTTAGCTTGAGGCAGCTCCTGTAGCTCCTGGAACAGTCATTTCATGAATTTTTTGGATTTCCTGCTACATGAAGCCATCACTGCCTAGGCTCCTAGGTCCCAGGTCTCCTCCAAAAGTTGGAAGAACGTCCACTCCCATTCATTCAGCCAGGAAACATCCATTAAGTGCTTCCCTGGTACTGAGTGTGGCACCACTGCCTTTTCCTGTGCTTCTCTTTAAACATTTCCTTACTGACAAGAGCATGTCAGGTATCTCAACCTCTGTGGCAATGGAGCCCCATGGGTAACACATGGAGATTCCTACTCTACCCTAGAGTCTTTCAGATTGAGAATGGCATCCATGCATCATTCGAAGGAAGGCTTCCTTACCTTTTTCCATTCCTGACATACTTAGGAACAGACCAAGGTACTCAGAGGGAGTGGTGGACAGAGGTCCCGTTTCCACCCGTCTATGAATCAACACACTAGACCCTACTTCACAGGTCATCTTTCCTTCGTTTATACCTCATACCTCTCGTACATCCAGACAAGTCTAAGTTCTCCCTCACAGCTCAACCCAGGCCTTCCCCTAAACACTTCCCCTAAACACCCAGGTGTTTGCCTCTTCTGTAACACTCATTTCACTTGTAGCCACTTGTGTCACCCCTACTAGACTCTAAGCTCCATGAGGACAGGCACAAAACCTATTTGGTTTCTTTCCACATCTCCAGCACCTAACTCAGGGAGTAACACATAACAGATGCTTGCCAACTGTTTGTTGAATGAATATCTGTTGAGACCACTAACTTTCATCCTCAGACAATATTTATGTAATATTAGTAATAATTCTCTACATAGTTCAGTGGCTTATCACACCTTCGTGGGTGAGTGCCCCAACTTTGAGGGGAAAGACAATACAATAATATAATCCTTCTCTCTACTTTTCAGAAAACAAAACACCGTCTATCAAGTAACTGACTTGACTTAGGTGGTGGAATCGGCAGAGGTCAAATGCATACCTGCATTAAAATTCTGAACGTGGGTCATATATCATCTGCTAACCAGATGCTCTGACAGCTGAGTGAAATAGTGGTAGCTTGTAGAAAAGAACAGCGGGAAGAACAGGAAGAAGCTAAAGTTGAATGTCTATGATTTTTCTTTCCTCAGGTATCTACTTGCAACCTAAACAGGATTACTCTGCCTATTCTGGAACACTCAGCAATTTGAAGCCAGGCCATAGAGTTTGTGAAGCCAGTGAGCCTTTGCTTCTAAGAGGAGGGAGATGAGGGCTGGGACACAGGGGCACTATGATGTACGTGCACCCTCACATCTGGACAAAATCTACACCAAAGCATGTGTACATATAAACATACAGAATGAGCCACTGCACAAACAGGTGCCACAAAGAAATCATGCACATACACACTGATACGTGGTTGTGCACATCTGGACACACATTTAAACATGTACCCAACACATAGATATCCAGCCACTGATGTGTAAACCCAGCAAATGAAGTACATTTCAGTTACACATTGAGCTGCAACCTTCGACATGTGCATGCATATTCACGTACAGGAGCCCTGATGCACGTTTGGGCACATGCGTTTCTGAATGAACACACATACAACTAAACCTGCACACACGATTCATAATCACTCAACTACATGCAAATTCAGTACACTGGGGAATTTACGCTCCTATAAACCGTCATGCCCACACGCATCGTCTGATCCACAGCCAGATGAATGCTCACGTGCAAGCAACACAGATGTCTCTTCAGACACATGCACAAGTACCCACTCCCCCGCAATCGGCTGAGTAGCAATCACTCTCGTGCATGTAAACCGTCAAAGACACTGACAAATTCTACACACAGACATGCATTGACACACTCAAGTTGTCACCAGCGCTGAAATTTTTTCCAAACCGGTGCAGCTCCCAGACGGAGAGCTCCTAGCTGCGGGCTGGCCCACGTGACCAGGAACGAAATGCTCCCGCCCATGACGGGATGGGAAAAGTATGCCTGAGGCGGGCGCTGGCCGAGCTGCCTCGGCAGGAGGCGGGGACGCGGAGCAGTGCCGAGAGAGCTTCGAGCTTCGTGGCTCCGGAAGCCCCGGGACGTGGCCGAGACCGCTAGGGTGAGTGACCGAGAGCTACCCGCACCTCCGCCACCCTCCCGCAGGGGCGGAAAGCGCAGGTGGGAGGGGAAGGATCCGGTGCTGGAGAGTGGACAGGAGTATGTCCTCGGGTGGGAGGTGGAGTGCTGCAATCGTCCCTTCTTTGCAGGCCAGGCAGCCCCGGGATTCCCGGCTCCTGACCTCTGCCTTATGAATTATAACATGAATTAACATGTACTGAGTACTCACTGTATGCCAGGCTCTGTGCTCAGTGGCTTACCTGTTGACAGTAATACCTCTACCATTTATTGAGCGCCTATTTTGTGCCAGGCTCTGCCATCCCTCTGGTGTGCTGTTTCATTTCCATGACGACAGGTTATCCCCATCTGCAAAAGAGGAACCAGGCTCAGGGATCTTTAACAACTTGCTCAAGACTGTACAGCTAGTAACTGTACACCTAGTGGTAAAGGGACTTGAACCCTGGTAAGTCTGAGTCCAATACCCCGAGCTAACAATCATAGTTGTTATGTGTGGAGTGCATGATCTCATTTATTCCTGATAGCACTTCTTTAATTAAATATATTATGTAGATGGGCAGACTGAGTTCAAAAGGCAGTAAATGGCAAGCTGAGATTTGCACCCAATTCTTTACAACTCTCTTCACCCTCCCTCTTTCCCCAAACTACTTGTCTCCAAGCCTTGTCTTACTTTGTTCTTATTTCTCTAACCCACTGCTGCGGTCCTATTCCAGGACATTATCTCTCAGCTGAAGGACTGCAATTGTCCCCAGCGGTCTCCCAGTACACTTCTCTGCCCCAGCTCCATGAACCTTTACACAACCTCAGCGTCCTCTGCTCTTTGGCTTCAAGACTCTCCTATCTGAACCCTTCAAAATCTCCCCCTCTTAGATCCGACATCTCCCAGAGACCTTGTGATCTTACCCTGACCTGTTCCTACTCCACTGAACCAGCAGCAATAGCAACAACATCCTATATATGTCAACTCACGGCTGATGCTCGGTTGGCATTGTTCAAAGTCTGTGCTCTCCTCTCTCTCCCCCTGTCTCCTCCCCCATCTGCACAGTTCTCTTCTGATTTATTCTGTTATCTGCTAATTGTATCCATTAAGTCCACTGTCAACTGCTAATTCCCCGGCCCCCTCGCACTTCTGAGAACATCACTATTACCCTTCATTCTGACGCATCAAGTGCACCATTGAGTTTGCGTCTTTCCAAATGTCTGACCTCTCCCGGTCTCCTAGCAGGGACACCACACTTGCCTGTCTTCTGATCCTTAAACATTAGGGTGACCTTTTGTTTTAAATGACATAAAACTAACAACGCTCATCATAAGAAATTCAGACAGTAAAAAGAGAAAGAAAGTGAAAAGTAAAAGCCCACACGCTTGGTCCTAATTCTGAGAGGTAACCTGTTTATCAAGAAGTGGTGTCCTTTCAGAAATTGTGTGTGTGTGTGTGGGGGGGTGTCCTTTTTTTTTTTTTTAACTCAAAGAGAATCATGCTTTACATTCCATGCTGCAACTTGCCTTTTTCACTTTGTGTATCTTGACCGTCTTTCCATCTGCACGTCTGGACTTACTTTGTTCTCATAATGGTGTCACAGTGTGTCATTGTACGAGTAAATTGAGATATCTTTCACAAGTCTGGGGTCATCTCTGAAGCTATTCTGTCTCCATCAAATAGTCAGCAGATTCCCCCAGGAAGTGACTGCTTTCTCTGCAAATCCCTCTCTTCTTCCCTATCTTGCTACTCCTCATCAGTTGATTGGACACAGGGGACTGAACCTTCTTTCCTACAGTGCCAGTCTCTAGTGCTATCTGCTCCTGAATGTTCAGCATAAGCTGATAGAGACCATGTACACACTCACGGCTTCCCTCACCCTTCCCCCCATCAGAGGCTTGCCAGCCAGGCTTGCCTCTGTGAGATGAACTCCTGCATAAAGCAGATTTCAGTTCAATTTCTATTCTAGGTTTACTTTTGAAAGGAATTCTATGCCAAGTCTTTTTTCAAGGAAATAATCCTCCTTGGATTTGTGCATCGCTGTGAATGGCTTACCTCTATAACACACATGCACGTGCATGCACACACATACACACACACACATCTGCCCTGTTAGTTAAGGCTTTAGGCTCATGGGTCCTATGCCCAAGTGCATGGTAGAGGGACATGAGCCCTGGTCCCTGAGTCAGCAGGCGCGGATCGCCTCCCAGCTTTAACTGGGAAAAAATGACTTCACTTTTCTGAGCCCTGTTTTCTCTTCTGCCAAGTGAGGATAATAGTATTAGCCTTACAGAAGTGTGAAGAGAGTAAAAGGGCAAAAGGTACATCAAAGCTTTGGAATAAGAACACATAATGTACATGGAAAACACCCTTTGCCTCTAGGTCACAGGTTGCTGGCTCAGCTGCCAGTAGGGGCTGCGCATGACACAGAAGTGAGCAGAATGCATGCCGTTTGGGAGTGGTAAGGACTGTGGACACAGAAGAGTGTAGGTCCTGTGTAGTGGTCTGCTAGGGCGGCCATCACAAAATACCACAGCAGGTGGCTTAAACAGTAGACAGTTATTCTCAGAATTCCAAAGGCTAGAAGTCCACGATAAAGGTGAGGGCAAGTTTGGTTCCTTCTGAGGTCCATGACTGAGGTCCCTGCCTTCTCTCCTTGACTTGCAGATGGCCACCTTCTCTCTGTGCCCTCACACGGTCAGACCTCTGTGTGCTGTGTCCTAATCTCCTTATAAGGATGCCAGTCATAGTGATTAGGGCCCATCCATAGGACTTTATTTTCCTTTATCTCTTTAAAGGCCCAATCCCCAAATATATAGCCCCATTCTGAGGTTCTGGGGGTCAGGACTTCAACATATGAATTTGGGGGGACATATTCCAACCCATAACACTTCATCTCAAGAGGTGGCCAACTGGTGCCCTGCCAAATGTTTTTCAAGGAAATAATCCAGATTCTCAAGAATACCTAGAAATCTTGATTTATTTTTTATTTTTTGCTTTCTCCAATAAACTTTCATTAACCTGTTTAAAAGTGCTGAAGCTCTTAGGTTTATGGTGATGACTTTTTAAATAATTTTTAAAATGTTTAATTATTTGAGAGAGAGAGAGGGAACAAGCAGAGGAGGGACAGAGAGAGGGGGACAGAAGATCTGAAGCAGACTCCGCATTGGTAGCACAGATCTTGATATGCGGTTCAAACTCATGAATTGTGAGATCATGACCTGAGCCTAAGACTCAGAGCTTAAACTGACTGAGCCATCAGGTGCCCCAAGTTTATGGTGATAACTTTTGAACTTCTGCGAGCCCAGCTCTTTTCCCAATGCTTAAGGACCCTGTCCCTGTCTACTTCCATCTCTTCTCTGACCCCAGGGCCCTTCTACCCACGGTTCCCGGCTTCTCACCCTCCTCCTCTGGCAAAAAGACATTGGTGCTGTCCCCATGTTCAGTCCCTCCCAGGTCCTTTCTGGTGAACAACTCAGGTGGGCACAGGTCTGTCATTCTATCCTCACTGTCACTCACACCTTTTCCATCATTGCTGGACAAGGATTCCCAGAAGGCTTCTCCTGCGTGAGGCGGCCCAGAACTGTCCATCTGGTCTTCCTTCCTCCTCCTTTTCTGCAGGAGACAGGGAGGCGGGCACACACTCCACACGCTGCTCCTGACACTGCGCACGGAGCTCTCTGGTATTGCCGGCACTGGGTGTGTCTGAGCCTGTCTCCAGGACCTTGTTGATGTGCCTCAGGGTGAGGTTGCAGGACAGCTGGTGTGGGTTTTTGGTACGGGGCATGATGTGCAGTTCGGAGAGGCACAGACCAGGTGCCAATATTTCTTGCCACAGGTGTAGACCTGGAGCTCAGGCAGAAGGCAGGGCAGCTGGTGCCCATGAGAGCACATTCCCTTGCAGGCACCAGCCTCCAGCCAGACTCTGGAGCGCTTGCCCAGAAATCTTGAGTTTAAGATAAGAGCTCCCACGTTTTACATTGGCAACAATTTCAAATTAAAAACAAAAAAAAAGCAGGACGCCTAGGTGGCTCAGTTGGTTAAGCGTCTGAGTTTGGCTCAGGTCATGTTCATGGGTTTGAGCCCTGTGTCAGGCTCTGTGCTGGCAGCTCAGAGCCTAAAGCCTGCTTGGGATTCTGTGTTTCCCTCTCTCTCTCTGCCCCTCCCCCACTCATGCTCTGTCTCTCAAATAAATAAACATTAAAAAATTTAAAAAAATAAAAGCATCATGTAGTCACTGGTTTGCATAAGGCCACTGATAAGCCTCGGGTCTAGATTATCATTCCCTCAGTGGCAGGGCCATTCTCCCTAGCTTATTTATTTATTTACTTATTTAAGTTTTATTTATCCATTTTGAGAGAGGGTGCGGAGGGGCAGAGACAGAAGAGAGAGAAATGCAAGCAGGACCTGGGATCATGACCTGAGCTGAAACCATAACCTAAGCCACTCAATAGACTGAGTCACTCAGGACCCCCATCCTCCCTAGCTTTTTAATACCTTTCAACCAGAGGTCAGTGCACATTGCAATGTTAATAAAGAGCGGTTTGTTGAATGAGTAAATTCTAAGTTTACAACCTCGTTTAAAGTAGATTACACTTAGGGGCAGCTGGGTGACTCAGTGGGTTAAGCGTCTGACTTAGCGCAGGTCATGATCTCATGGTTCGTGGGTTTGAGCCTTCAGTTGGGCTCTGTGCTCACAGCTCAGACCCTGGAGCCCATTTCTGATTCTGTGTCTTCCTCTCTCTCTGCCCCTCCCCCACTTGTACTCTCGTGTGTGTGTGTGTGTGTGTGTGTGTGTGTGTTTTCTCTCTCTCACTCTCTCTCTCTCAAAAATAAATAAACTTTAAAGTAGGTCACAGATACAAAAATCCTGGACCTTTGCATTTGTGCCTTGCTGTAAAATCGTATCCGCTGTTAAAATCTGCCTTCCAGCTGTTTACCCCAAAGCTCACAATTGTTCAACTCACCATAATCACATTTTACAGAGGAGGAAGCAGAAGCCC